TACTTGAAATGGAAGTAAGCCCAACAATTATGAAACAAGAGATTCCTCGAAACCCAACTTTTCTTCGTATTGTGACTTAAGGTGTACAAAGTGAACTGCGCACCATCTTCTGCCCCGTCGCATCCTTGCTGAGCTCTGCTACCGCGAGATTAGCCATGACTACATCAAGCTGGGTGAAATCCCAAAGATCCCTTCTGCATACTTTTTGACGGGCCACTTCACGCGCATCTCACATGCTTTCATATCAAGTTGAATGAATGCGATTAAAGCTCTTTCCTTGCATAAATAAGCTGGAAGTTGGTGTGTTTGCGTTCATGTAATGCCCACGATTCGGTTGTGATGTTCGAGCCCAAGACGGACTCCATGTCAATCGCTTTCTCTAATTTTCTCTAGCGATAACTCTCTCATTCATGATGTGGGTCGCTCATCCTCTTGACCCCGAGGTCTCCATATCATGTAAAATGTCCCATCTACTGTCCGTATGGTCGCGTTCTTTTTATGAACCTTTGCTGATGGTTTTGTTTGTGGTTTGACAGGTGTTTTTCACAGACTCTACCTCATGACCACTAAACCTTATAAGAAATCTGGTCGCTCCATACGATCCTAATGTCCCACTTTCCCAGTATTTGGAAAATGTTGAGATCAGCAACTCTAACATCCTAGAAGATTTGTCTCTTCCTGCTCCAGATGGCTGTCTTCTCTAGCCCTGCTTATTGAAATTGCGAGATAATTCACAAATATCCCTATTGGAAAAGTGTTCCCAACTAAAATTTCCACTTGCCTTACCAACTATTGGTCCCATTAATTTACTGCCCTATAATTATTGCTTTCACAATGCCTACTCTGACCCCATAAGTGTGATTAGAGAATAAATTAAGAAGTAGACCCGCATTTATGGGTTTTCTCAACAATCTAATACATCTACTCGACCTTCTATAACTCCACTGTAAATTCAATCATCCGATTTGTTCAATTCATTAACCATTAGCCTTGTCGCCAAGCCACAAAGTTGTCGCCCATCTTTTCAGACAAAATAAAATGTACACCGACATGGATGCCGAGGCATAAGAATACGTGGTATTGGTCTGACTTTGTTTTCACAATTTGATCATAGTGACTGGGAGACCTCGTAATCATGTGACTAGTCCAGCCTCCTCTGCCATAGTTTTCTTGATAATTTAGGATAGCAGACTGTTGACTGTAGATTACCGAACGTTTTGCCTGAGTCTTCAGTGTCAGGCGCCATCCATAGCGAGTTACAATCCGCTAATGAGACAAGAGACCTGCAAGCTTCTTTTAGAGGTTGTAGCTCGGTGCCAAGGCTGCCTGCGAAACATCTAGGAATGTACCAAACCAACGGTCCATTGGTTGAAATTGTCATGACTGCTTGAATAGAGGACGCATGATGGGTGAGTTCTGCAAGGTTCCCTTGCCAGGCGTACCAAGTTGCGAAAATGAGTTCAGACCAACATACTACAGCTAAAGACCACACCATCGTGGTCTCCATATTCACTGTCGAATTCGATAAATGATATAATTGCTAGGCGTAGTGAATACAATCATTGTGGTCGGAGAAGTCTGTGCCTACGAGATGAGCAAGTTTTCGGACCTAATATGGTGCTACAAAAATCTTAGTGTCTCCGTAAGTAGATTTATGACTCAGGTATCATTGAAAGACGATTGACAGCAAAGAGACGAAAATTTCCTTTCCGGGGAAAAAGCTGGCTAGAATGATATTATAGCTGAAGACACGGGACTGGGTACGTTCCACAAGCTTCCCTGACGCTCCGACCAAGTTGCGAAAACAAGGTCGAGCCAACACTGCGACCAAACAGAACGTCACACCATCTTGGTCTTCAAATCTACGGTTGGAAGAAGTTGGGTAATTGGTCCCACAGAAAACCGAAGCAGGATTGCCTTGGAATGAAAAGGTTTGGAATTTATGAATAAGCCCTCGGCTAACCGCCCTACGACTCCGATGAACCCGTGCTTGGTTCTGTCATGTGACAGACATCGTCAAAGCAGGAAACCAGGAGAATAGGCTTAGTATATTGTCGTGAAATTTCGTAAATCATAGTCTGCTCTGGCGATGTCTGCCACGTGACGGATGAAAGCCCAGCACGGGTTCACCGGAGTCGGAGGGCGGTGAGCCGAGGATTCCTTTGCACAACTCAACCGTCTTCACTTCAAAGAAATCATCCTTCGGTCTACGATGAGACCAATTCACGAGTTACTTTAAACAGGC